CGACGTGACAACTATAGGCGGCGAAAAGAGCAAGATAAACAAGCTCAAACATCTTGCACTATGAACAGTCGGAGGAGAGTTCCATTTCAAAATTTTACAAATATGAGATCTCCAATATCACACTTTCAAGGAACTCATGACAATGAAGTCGGCCCAAGTAGAATTACACATGTTAATGATGTTGCACTTGGTTGGTGATGATCAATATAGACATTATAATCGTACTTTGTATAATATTGCTTATTTGTCATCCCTCATTTTATGTATTTAAACCCGCAGATCATAATTTCACATCACCTAACCAACGTATCAACAATAGTCACTCTGCTACAGGTATACAAGATATTGTTTTACATATGCGAGCAGTAATTTCAACATATATATATATATATATATATATATATATATATATATATATATATATATATATATATATATATATATATATATATATATATATATATATATATATATATATATATATATATATATATATATATATATATATATATATATATATATATATATATATATATATATATATATATATATAAGATATAAATATGTTAATTATTATTTTTGTATCCGGCGATATGGATGTTGGTGAAGCTTTGGAGATGCAGTAATATCAAATGTTAACATGGAAGCCATAAATGATGGTGCATCATGTCGTCCTCAAGGTATGTTCATAAACATTTTTGTGCCAAATAATGTAGCTTATACTCTTTCTTATTGAATTTCATAGTTATGGTGGTCTCGGGTTGGTGCTACAAGGTGTTGTGGAGAATTAATTCGGTATGTTTAAAATAATAGTAGCATTAATATATAGTTAGTTCACTAAAGTATTTTTAGTATATATACATTTATCATCCTGATTTTAAGACTGCTTGAGAATATCTAAAAACAAATACATTAATTAATCTTAAATATGATAAAAACTTCATATAAAATATACACATGTTTATTTTTCTATGTTGTGCACATTAAAAAAAGCGGACTGACGGGCATGGGAGTGCCCGTCTGAACGCTAGTTAAAATAAAAATATTAGACCTACCTAACCTATTGACTTTTTATTTTTTTATATAAAAAAATTATTAATAAATAAAATAACACAAAAGTATATTAGAACCACTTTTATTATATTAAAATTATGTACTTTATTCTACAATAAAAAATTTAAATTATATATAAAAAAATATATATATATATATATATATATATATATATATATATATATATATATATATATATATATATATATATATATATATATATATATATATATATATATATATATATATATATATATATATATATATATATATATATATATATATATATATATATATATATATATATATATATATATATATATATAGAGAGAGAGAGAGAGAGAGAGAGAGAGAGAGAGAGAGAGAGAGAGAGAGAGAGAGAGAGAGAGAGAGAGAGAGAGAGAGAGAGAGAGAGAGAATGTCATTTTTAGGTGAGAATATGAGAATGAATCTGAAGAATTATATTTAAAATAAATTGGTGAGATTATATGTCATTTTTATTTTCTTCCCCCTCCATTATTAAAATAAATGAATTAAATTAAAATATTATATTTTTGATAATTAAAATTCTCTCTCCTTTCATTCATTTATTATAAATTTAATGGTTCAAAGTTATTCTCATGTTCTAACATAAAAATGACATTTTCATATGATACATCTTTTATATATATATATATATATATATATATATATATATATATATATATATATATATATATATATATATATATATATATATATATATATATATATATATATATATATATATATATATATATATATATATATATATATATAGACATTTTCATATGATACATCATATATATATATATATATATATATATATATATATATATATATATATATATATATATATATATATATATATATATATATATATATATATATATATATATATATATATATATATATATATATATATATATATATATATATATATATATATATATATGTTATTTTGGTTTCTTTCGCATTATTTTGTTTTATTTTGTATTTTGTTGAATTTTAGATTGGTGATTGGAATGAACCATTTCGAAATCGAGAGGATAAATCTAAAAATTATAAGAAATTCAAAAAGATGAAATGATCCTCCTGATCGAATCATTCTATTAACAATTTCAAAAAACTGTTCATACTATAAACATAGTAGAATGAAGTTTTTTTTTTTAAATTATCCATGTATTTGAAACAAATTACCATATAAATGTGTGATTCAGAAAAATTACCAAACCAACTACCATTCAACAGACAGTCGCCATTCAGTATGGCGATATTGACAAAAACGTCTTCAAGCAATTCGCCAATCTGATTGGCGAAATTGGGCAAATGGGACAAAATCGTCAGCCCATATGGCGACATGGCATTGTTTAGGGCAACCGTATTTAATATCAATTTTTTTGTTATATTTTTAATTTTGAAAATTTTTTTAATTTAATTAATGTTTTAATGTATTTAATATCAATAATTTTTTATATTTTTAATTATTATTTTGTTTTTAAACATAATTATTATTAATAAATTTAAAATAATTAGATTTAATGTTAAAATTAAAATTTTAATTAATAAACTTAAAATAATTAAGTTTAAATAAAAATAATTTCAAATTAATTTATTAAATTTAGGTTTAATTAAAAATAAACTTAAATTGGTTTAATAAATTTAGGTTTAAATACAAAATAAAAATTGAGTGTTGATTTAATTTTAAGGTAGATAAATTGATTTAAATAATAACTTTTAAAACATAAAAATTGACTAACCATTGAAGTTTAAAGTGTATAAATTTTGTAAGGGTATGTAAGTCATATCATATGGGGTACGTACTGTTTTATTTACTATAAATACGACTGCAAACACGTGTATGTTTTCACAACATTGTATCCCAAAAGACTGAAGCTTTAGTGCATTTTGAGTTGAGTGGAGTCTAGAATGTCTGCATTTCTAAATCAACGTTATTCGTCGTCGTCGTCATCAACATCAGAGGAATCCTTTCCAACGTTTGATCTAAATGAAGAGAAATGCCCTAGTTGTGTTTTGCTCGTTCGATCTAATGAAGAGAAATGCCCTAGTTGTGTTTTCAGCAACAAAGCCTCCGATGAAGGTGCTCCTTTGGAACCTCTCCAACTATCCACTATTTGACTACCACATCCCACAACAACCAACACACCATTTACAACCCAATTCAATGTACGAATTCAAACAACCATACCGTCCATACTCCACCCAACCTCCCCGACAATCCTTCGAAAACATGGGCGTTGGGCTTGACTACGGCAGCGCCGTTGACAATGGACCTCCCGACTATAGGGATTAAATGCTGCAAAATCTATCTGATACGTCGGAGCCGTCCCAACAAAATCATCTTCCACAACTCAACACACATCGACCAGACACACCACAACAACCTCGTCGTAGACCTCGTCGCAACGCGCATCCCCCGCAGTGTGGCACCGGTGGTCGCTTGGATAGAGTCGAACATTAATATTTTTCTGCTGTAATTTTATTTATTTTAAGTTTTATTGTAAATAAATATATTTTTAATATTTTTTACATGTCTATATTATTTTAAGTTTATTTAAATTTTAATTCTTTATGAAAAACAAACAACATAATTTACTGACAAATATTCATTAATAAGTAATTAAAATATTATTAAATTTAATAATAAACTTAACGTTATTACTATTTAAATATGTATTTAAATATTTGTATAATATAAATATTTAAATTTAATGAAAACTATATTTTAAATATGTATTTAAAATATTTGCATAATATAAATATAAATTAAAACATGAAAAAAAATTGAAAATGAAACCCTAGACTACAACTAAGTCGCCATTTGCATTGGCGAATTTGCTTCTCCTTCTTCATTATCGCCATTTCAAATGATAAATGTTTACAATGCCATAACTGTGATTTAAATAAGTCGCCCTTTGCATTGGCGACTGTTAGTTGATTGTTAGCTAGTTTCGTCATTTTTTTTGAATCTTTTGTTTATTTAGTAAATACTAAACAATTCCTAATTTATCTATAAAAAATTCTAGAATGGAGGTTGAACAAGGCTGTCCCATCGTCTAGCAGTATAGGACATATAACCAATTCAACTTCGAAACTTACTTTAAAATTTTGAACTCATAGATGCACTTGTTTAATACCCTATCCAATTTTAATCCATTTTCTCAAATTCCTTTAACTCGTAACTTAAATTGGTTGAGCTACCGAAAATTTATAAATTTATGTTAAGAATTTTACCAATCAAATTTTAGAAAACTCAAAAATAGAAAATTTTCATTGATAATTGATTTGAATAAATTATTTAAAGTTCATGTAAAAATGTATTATAAAGAAATATATTTATTTTATAAGATTGAGAAATGAAATCTTTAAGATTATTTTTTAGCAGTGATGTATTGATGTAAGTAAGTACATGAAATCATGATGAAAGACAATTACTGTTTTTTTCGAGTACTATGTAATGTCTCACATAAATAAAGGACAAAACAATTTGGTTCTAAGGTAGTAGACAAACATAAGTCCAAAACATTTTCACTAAGGAGAAAAAAATAAACAAATCGTAAATAAATTAATGTAACATCAACAGAATAAAACAATATTGGATATGTAATAAAGATTAGATTTTGAATCCAATGGAAACTGAACCTTGGCAAAAATGGAGTCACCACAAAATGAATCTCTGAGTTGCACATTGTGACAGTGTCAATTTAACACCAAATGGTAGAAATCTCCACTCTGATCTTAAAGTTAGATTAATCCAACGACCGAGATTTTACCGGAGAAACAATATCGGTAACAAACCAAGGATCCAAACTTGCTCCACAAGCTAAAGTCATGCCAAAAGTCTCAAGGAAACAAAATTGGGGATTCCACAAGTTTAGGACATCCACTTTTTGTTAGGAGAATATACTTCAAAGATATTGAGCTTGTATTCTTTCTCGGTTCTCTTCCCACCATGTTTTTGCGTTTACCTCGCCGAATCTTTCTCGGCTGCATACATGAGTTCAGCAAGTTTATGACACAAACCAAATATTAAGGAACATGTTTTTTTAGGATGGACTATAGTACCTGAATCGGACGCGTCTGAGCTCCCTCGTACCATCGGCTAACTGTCTGATTGTAATGTAAACTCCAGGCTCGTCTTGTTCTACCCATTCTGACTCCATTTCACTTGCATTGCTAATAGAAGGTTCATCTCTAGATGAAGTAGTTGCCCTTGATGGTTCCATTGATGATCCTGCTTGAAAGTGGTGACCTCCGCCTTGATCCGACATTCCTGAGGGTTTGTAGTGACTCCTTGGCGTCCAATCCTTGACCGACGCCATAGGACTTTCTCTTGCTGATGTCAATCTCGAGTAAGTAGAATCTCTTTGCTGTTCAAACAAAAAAGTATACATTTCAATACGAATCTTGAGTAAGGTATACATAGTCTGTGTAAGAAAATCTTTTGATTATTATTACCTCATCGGCTTCGGACCTTGGAGGAGTGTTGAGAGCTTGTCGATTAAATCTTTGGACATTGTAAAGCTCCATGATTCTGTCGTAATTCTCGCCCCACCATTTTTGAGCTTGCCATTTATTGAACATCTCACGGCTTCAAATTCAAATGCTAAGTATTGTCAGTCTTTTGCTCCTACATGATAATTGTTACATTTTCAACAACTAAAAATTTCCCATATTTTTTTCTGAAATATTAGGCCCTAAGGTACCCTTTTCTTTAAAACTTTGATTCCACATTACAACTAAATCACTGGTCCAATAACCACAGCACCAAATATGCAAAGAGTGAATGTGCTAGCAATTTTGATTTATCTAAGTTTCTAAGTATCGGTAGTTAATACTTAATAGACGATACCTGAAGCGAATTCTCTTGAGATCATTTCCACCATTAGGAAGAGAAACAAAGGTAATATGAACCCCTGGCTCAACCTGTGCCATCCATTCCTTAGGTTCATCTTCATCCTCTAACACAACATCACAGACTGATGCTGAATCGCGTCCTCTAGGGGTGCGGTCTCCGGCGTATCTTGCACCAGGGTAGTTAGAGGTAGTGAAATCCCATGCAGGGGTTGAACTTGAGCTTGCACCTCCAACGTAAGGATATGGAACCCCTTCTGAGATTGTGTCGAAATCGGGATATGGTCTATGTCCTTTCTTGTTGTAGCTACTCGATCCTCCTGTGCATGGTTTGCATTGCTTGTAAGCACCCGAAAACTTTAGGGCCATATCTTTTATCTGCATACAAAGAAAAAAAACACACTTCATAACATTAATACATTAAAAGCTACAAAACACGGACAGACACGCACACCAGAAAGGACATAATTTAGTACTATCAAGTGGGGGTTTGGGAGAAATTAAAGTAATGTTTCTATGTCTTAACAATGTGACAAGGATTTCAAAAATCAAAACACTAGAGTGACATTTTCCTTTTCTTCTATCGAAGTAGATCCACCTGATCATACTTTATATTTAATAATATGTAGCATGAACAATGATAGTATAAGATTTGATGATTAAAAACAGGTAGATGAAGAACAAGGGGTCTACTTTCTAGAAGAAGCAAATACAGAATAACTTATTTAAATTCTTCATGATTAAGAAAACACTTTTTTTGTGTATCGCAACTAGTCCAAGGAAACTCCTTGCTTAAAAATTTTATATTCCTAACCAGAGTTTGGAATAGACGATCACTAATCTCACAGATTCAGTCCAAAAAAACCCTCTTGTAATTACCTTAGTGAGCAAAATCACCTCGATTGTACTTTTTTACAAGTTCAAATAACTAATTTATAACTTCTTTTAGCAAATTCCAACTATATATTTTCAATACTTTTTATATGAAGAAAATTTTATGTGATGTCACTAAATCTATCATGAAGATTCTATTTTTGGAATATCACCTAATCATAAAAGAGTGATGTAAAGAATGTTAGAGAATAATTGGTAGCATTTTTCACACTATTATTGAGAGCCTATAATAGCATAAGTAAAATGTTTGTGAAATAGAGCACAAAGAAAAAAAGATGGTGAAATCATGTCTAAAATTTTTGAACTAAAAATTAAAATAAATTTGGAACAAACTGAATAGAGTCTAAGGTTTCAAGCATAGGTCATTTTCATAGAAATGACTTTACAGTTGGGCAGATGAAGAATGTTTTTGGAAGGCCAATTATATACAAGAAACTTACAAAAATCTCACCATCAACTATATTACCCTTAGTTGCAAGAATTTCCTAATTCAAGAAATTCTATTGATTGGTAACTAGTTGTTTCTGTGGTCGCTGTGATTCGCATTGCAGAGTGAATTTTGATTAAGACGTGTTTGAAATATCACCGCAGTTTAAAGACCATGCTTATATTCTTAGCACATTTTTGAAGCTAGAGAATTAAGTTTAGTGGTCTAAAAGCAAAAAACATTAAGAAATGTGAATATTAACTTTACTGATGTAAAAACAACAAAAGAGTAACTAAAACTTGTTTAAATTTTATTGCTTTTTTTAACAGTGGTAATAATAGAACACTTTAAAAAACATTGTATCGACAAGAATTCAAGGATGGGCCATACATAGGATGAGAATATGGCAGACCCTTCTGTGTGTTTGGAATCTTTCCTTAACATCAACTCAATTTACGAATATTGAACATGTTCCCACTAATATTACTGAATATGTATCTCATAAAATATTTGACTAAGACATTTTGCTTTTCCTTTTCAAATTTATTTTCAAAAAAAGTACAAGGAGACCAAATCAAGAAATTGAGTAATTAGTGACTAATTAATCAAAATTATTGGTAGCAATATCCTTTTATATATATATGATAAATTCTAGCTAGTAATGAGGTCAGCAAAAACATAAACATATCACAATCAAATGTTGTTGCTAAGATTTGTTTGTTTCACCAAAATGTAAAAAGGAGAGAGAAAAGCAAAAACAATAGGAAAAGAAGAGAGAGAACAAGAACAAGAACCTGTGTGGTAATGCTTTTGACAGCTTCTTTAGTACTAGGCGTGCCACTCTCACGACCATCTTCATCCCTCTCATCTGATGTTTGTTTCGTACAAGCTATGCATGTAAACATCTTTTTCCTTAATCACTCCTTCCTAAAAATATCTCAACAACACAAAATAATAAATATTAAATAATAAATAAACTACATGTGCATGTGTATGAATGAATGACCAATAAAGTGCAAAATTGGTAGTTATGTTATAGGTAGGTGAAAACAATCATCACTTTCATTGAATTGAATGAAACAGTGACAATTTGTGCCAACAACATAAAAAATATAAAAAGTTAGTTAGAATGGAACTAAATAAACACCAACGATTTATTAACAATCTACGTATCACCAACACTTCTGATAAAAAAAGTGTCTATATCTACTGTATCTATATAATGTATCTATATAATGTGTATATGTATCAGTATTGATGTGCGAGTGCCGGATCATGTTCGTAATTAAGAATGAAAAGGGGACACGAGATGGTCCTATGGTATAGAATAAAAATGGGGCAAAAGAGAAAGATAAAAAGCAAAATTGAATGTAAACTCGGGATCAGAGCAAGATCGAAAGTGATCTCAAAAGAATGAAACAATGGGCCTATAATCAAAAGCAGAATAAAATGGGGCAACGAATGACCAAAGTAATATTTGCTTTGCTTTATCACACACAAATTCCAAAAATACAAAAATAAAGTAACCATAACTAAAAATAGATCAAAAAATTATTTAAAAAAAAAAAAACCAAAGCATGTCCAAAACCGAAGTTTCTAACACACTTTAATAGAACATCATTAAAAAACAATAATCTTATTTTATGAAGAAAAAAACAAACAAACATGTTATCTAATATTTATTCCTTTGATTCTATATTTCTCACTTTATCTTTAATTAAAATCACATCATTCACATTCTCCAATGCAATGCGACTCAAAATCAAATCAATGAGCTGGAGAGAGAGAGAGAGAGAGAATGTGCTTAGTTACTTAAGGTACGTATTTTGGGGATTTGTGTAAAACAAGACTGGTTATGAATCAGTGTTTGTCGGAAGATGAAGAAGAATGAAAGAGAATGAATGCAGCAGTAGTAGAGTTCAGGAAAAAAAATAAAGTGAATAAAAATGGTGGCATTGCATTGATTAATAATTAATGAGAATTAACTATTTAGCTTTATTCTGAAATGTGAAATTAATTACTGTCATTAACTATTCGAAAACGACATAACAAGCATTCCTCAACTGCTTTGTCTCTCTCAGTACTCAACAAATTTTTCATTAAACACACGTTCTTATGTTTCCATGTTTGTTTCAAATGCATGAGAGTTCGGTTTTTTCAAATTCAAAATATAAAGAAAAAAGGAAAAAGAATATTGAAACAAAAACTTACCTTATGTGAAGTAAATACTCTTCTTCTTCTTCGTCAATGAAATCGCTTTTTTTTTAATCGCTTCTTGAGAGTGATTGAGGTAAGAGGAGGAGAAATGAAGATATCGTGGGTGCGATGTTTTGACGAGATTATGGTTAGTGAGGAAAGAGTGTCGGAAAATTTGGAAGAATACAAAGAAGAAGAGAGTGGTGGAATTTGAGGTAGTTGTATTTATATGAGAGAGAAAAGTTAACGGCGTGAGAGAGAAACGTTAGTTTAGACGGAAAATGTTTGTTGTGAGTGGAGAAGGTGTTAAGGGGGGAATGAAATTTGGGTTTTGTCTTTTAGTTTATTAGAGCGAGCGGAAACAATGGTCGAGTGTGTAGAAGACATAAGGGACCCACGTGTTGGGGGTTGATTGGGTGGTTGTGATTTGTTTGGGAGATTGGACGGTCCAGATTTGTTTATTTTGTAGGATTTGGGTTGGTGAGTGAGTGCTAGTATCTTGTTGTTTGTCATCATTTGTTGTTAAATGTTGCATAATCATAATTGACAACTTTTGCAACCACACAATGGTAGTACTAAGTAAAATTAATTGTTTATGATCATTTATGATAAATTTGGATTTTTTTTGTTATTATGAGTCAATTTTGGGTTCAAATATTTTGTCATGAAAAAAACGGTTAAGAGAGAGACTTGACTAATAATGATTAAAATTCATCTAAGTTGAAGAAAAAGACAAAAACAATTCATTTTAAGTAGACAGAAAATATATTATTTTAGATTAGTTGGAGTGATAGCCATGTTAAAGGTGGCTCCGATTTTAAAATGCATTGCAAGATTTTTTTTCATTCTTTTTTTAAGAAATGTATACCTAGATGGTTGTATTTAAGGGTGTTTAAAATTGAATCAGTATAATAAAAAATTGTAAATCAAATTAAAACCGAAAAAAAAAAAATATTTAGTTAGGATGTGTTTGAACAATTTTTTAACAAAATTATACGGTTCAGTTCAGTTTGTGGTTTGTATTTTACAAACCGAAATAAACTGCATTATATTATAACTCAAACATCATTAATTCAACATTCAACCCAAAACTCAAACTTATTATGTCTTAATTTTACTGTTGTGAATTGATATCGTCAAGAACAAATAAAAAATATGAGAAAAAAAATATAAGTGAAGTAATCTTTTTTGTAATTCTTTTCTTATGATGAATGAAACTTATATGAGGCTTAGGGCATTATAAAAAAATTAATTTTAATTAATATTTTCATCTTTTTGTAATTCTTCTTTTTATGATGAATGAAATTTTTTTGTTAACCATTATTACTTTGCACGCAAGAATGAAATTTTTTTTTTGTCAACCATTATTATTTTGCACGCAGTGCAATCTTTTACTTTCTCTTTTTTTAAAAGATTTTATGAGAATTGTATAAGTGAAGTAAAAAGAAAATAAATTTTAAAAAATTGATATTTAAATGACATATATAGTTGTTTAGGAGAATCTTTATTAGAGTCAGATACTAGACAACACTTCCCAAGAATCAAGAGCTAAAAGATTGATTTGACAAATCAACATAGAGACAATAAAGACTCAAAGTAATGAAAGAATGAACTCTATAAAACAATTAGTAGACTGTATATCTAAATCACTTAATCTTTAGAACTAAAAAATGTATAAGTAGAAACAAATCTAGATTCCAAAAAGAGATTTTAGAAAGGCAGCATTGCTAAGAGCAGCAACTCAGGCAAACTAGAAGGATGTAGCAACTGAAGAGTCTTCAAAAAAGTAGATTTCTTCAGAGACACGTACAATAACAACAACCTTTGTTGAGACACGTAGAAGGAAAAGAACTTTTAGATCAAAAAGCAAAATTCTCCAGAAGAAGGAGACTATTGAATTTGCAAAGAAAGATTAGGAGGACTACTTAAACAATTTAGATATGCCAGCTGATCCTATGAAATACCTAAGAGCATATCTAAATGCCAAGAAAATTCTTGACAAAGATGTAATAACTACCAATCTCTGAATAACATAAGATTTTCACATCTAACAGCTTAAAAAAATATAGTGATTGTTTATAGTATTTGATCCTAATTTTTTATTCTCTGAATAACATAAGATTTTCACATCTAACAGCTTAAAAAATATAACACAAGCACAAAAATAACCTTTTTATTAAAGAGTGCTTAATACAAGATGATAACAGTTACAAGACATATATTGCAAATATCCAATATTAGAATCTTTGATAGATAGCTTCAAACTTATCTCTCCATATTTTAGAGAATCGTCCTCTAATGTTATGGCAACTACTTGTTGGATTAACAGTTCAGAAAGAACTCGTCCATAAGGAATGAAGAATGCCGTTCTCTTGTGAAAGGATGAAAAAGTCTTTTTCAGATGGTCAAACATAATTTGAGGTAGATCAATCAATATATCTGAATTGAGAAGAAGTAAAAGATATTTTTCAATAGAATCCACATGGTCTACATCCTTGTCCTTAGGTAGCAAGTTTGAGTTCAGAATCTAATTTCAAACAATTGCATTAGGACGAAGATTTGAGACCTGATAAAGGTTTGATGGATCCACAAAAGTACGCCAAGAAGGAATATAGTATTCCCAAACAAGAATATCTAGGATTTCTCCAATCTTCTCACAGTTGATTACATTAGCAATCGTCTTAGATATTATTCTTATAGAAACATAAGAAACCTTGGAAAGGATATCATACTCAAGATTTAGCTCAATAATGGATGCATTAACCTAAAATTCTTTGACAAGATTTGAATAAGTAAAACCATGGAGAATTTCAAAGTATCCATCCCAACCTTGTCCAGAAACAATCTTCCAAATGTTAAGACCTAGCTTAAACAGTTTTTCAAAATTCACAAACTTTTCATTGATGACAACTAGTTGATTCAGTGAAGAATTGACTAGAAAATTCATCTCAAGTTTGGTTTGATCAACACAGATAAGAAGAATATAAGAAAGAACTGAACAAGATTCTAAACAAAGAGGAATAAGAATCTTGTCAGAAGGGCATAAAAGGTGACAAGAAATGATGTTACAAAAAGACAAGGGATATATACCATACATTACTACGGAAAACACATATAATCATGCTCGCGTTACTATGGATATTCAATCAACTGTTGTAATATGTGATATTTATGCATATGTACTTTTTTAAATTTTATTTAACCACCTATAACCACGGTTGATTTAATACCCGTGGTGAAAAGGGGCGTATGGTCATGGGTTCAAATCCCAGCATCAGCCTTTTTGGTTATTTATTATTTTTTAAAAATGCTGACAGACCTTTCACCACGGGTATTTAAATCAACCATGATTATAGGTGGCACCTTCTTTTTTTTTTAAAGATAAATCAACCATGATTATAGGTGGCACCTTCTTTTTTTTTAAAGATATACATAACGCTCTTAGTTCATTCACTTTTGCCTTAGACGTACTTAGACAAACTTCATCTTCTACCTCCAAACTTCTTCCTTTTACGAAACATTATTCATCCATTAAACCAAACTTGAAAACATCATTTCTTCCACAAACGAAACTCAGAAACATTATTTCCATTAACATGTTACAATTTGTTCCTGTTTAACGATTCTACAAGTAAAATCTTACTGTTGAACGATTCTATTTATTTATTGTTGTTTATGTTGTTGTTCTTGTTGTTGCTCTTGTTGTTCT